TATATATATATTATATATATATATATATAATATATATATATATATATAATAAAGTTGAAATTTTGAACCAAAGCGAAACACCATAAAGGGTAAAAACAAACAAACTGAAAGCTGCAAACAAAAAAAAAGTACTTAATATAATTTTGCCCCAAGCAAAATAAATTTTTTCACACATTTTCAAAAGAAATGAGTGAAATAAACTATAGAAAATTACTGTAATTTTTTGGCATAATTTCTAAGAAGAAAAAAAGAAATTTGCTGCGTAAAAATGCAAAAAAGGATTTTTTAACACAACAACAACAACAAACACAAACACACACACACACACACACACACACACTCAAACACAGTCAGATACACATACACATACATACACAGGCCGCGGGGAATCAGAGAAGTGAAAAGCCAACGGACAAGCGAAAAATAGCGTTGCGGCTGTGGAGTGTGCCGTGCAGAGAAATGTGACTGACTGCCCCGTCGATGGCTGCTTGCTTGAACCTTTGGCACATAGACAGTGCGTTTTGTAAGAGAGACAAGTAGAAGACGGCGAGAAACAGAGATGTAGTTTTGTGCTTCGTTTGGTGGCCGTTGATCGTCGTCAACGGGGCTCCTGATGTCCATCATCACCAACACTACCACCACCAACCATCATCACCACCATCATCATCACCATCGTCGTCATTGCTAGCGATCATTCTAATCAGTTTATCACTTTTGGGATTATCATTATCATTGGTAGACAGAAATGAGTGAAGTATTTAGGTAAGAAAGTGTAAAAGAAGAATGAATAGGGAGGGAAAATATAGATGCTGAGAACATTGATGATGGCGACGTCGACGACGACAGTTACCTCGGCGATTGTAATGATCACGTTAACCATGATGCTAGGTGCTGTTTGTTCTTATAACTGCTGTTGCTGTCGGCGACTGCGATGATTATGATGATGATGATGATGATGATGATGATTATGATGATGGTAAAAATGGTGGTGATGGTGGTGATGGTGCTGGAAGATGTGAACATTGAAAGTTTTAGGAAAAAGTGGCGACGACAATAAATTTTTCATGTTACTTTTTCTTCCTCCCTTTCTTTTTTTTTTCGTGTAAAACCACTGCAGGTTTAATCGCGTGTTTTGTAGGTGATGTGACAGAATTTTGGTTTTGATTACTCTGGTGAATTTTTGTGATGATCGTTCAGCGTTTTGTATGTGCAAAGTCCGGCGCTATTTTTTCCCCTTTCTACTCTTTTTTTCCTTACCCCTTTCCCCGTTTTTTCCCCGTTTTCAATGCCCCAGTAGCCTGTTTTGATCAATAAATTATCTTGCTATTAAAGCAGGGGAGATTTTTTGTTTTAACAAGAAATAAATAAATTTAGCAAAAGAAGAAAATAAATGAAGAAAATAAAAAAAGAAAAGAACGGAAAAAAGGAGAAAGAGGAGTGGGAATTAACAAGTGCAACAGAAATAAGCTGCTGAAAGCAAAAGAAGTCTTGAAACAGTATTATTTTATTAGAAATTTTATTATTATTATTATTATTATTATTAT